AACAATACGTATGAAGTTGAAACTCCTCTTTGTAGTGCCTATACCTTAGATCAACTCATGCAATTAAATTATTCAGCGCAAAATAAATCAGGTACAAAAAAAAAAAAAAATAAAAACCCGGGGGTGGGGAAATTAATAAAACTTTAATTATTAATAAATTTTTTTTTAATTACAGAAGTCAATAGTACCGAAAATTACGAATTAAGGAGAACGTCATCAGAAGTTATTGATGTTAATAGTGTGGATTCTCGTGTATTTTCTCATAATGCTAGAAAATTAATAAATTCTGTTACGGCTAACGAAACAAGAGCCATACAAAATGGCGAAGCTAGAAGAATCTGTAGCGAATCCTCTGATAAAGATCCACTTATTGAAAATACAAAAGAACTTCCGGGTAATTTTTAATAATAACGAAACCTTCCCGCCCCCCCGTCTTTTCTTTTATTAATTTTGAAAAATTATTATTATTATTATTTTTTTTACGCAGATGACGAATCGAAAGAAGAACCGACAGAAAGACTACAATTGTTAAAATTAAATTCTCCTTTAGAAAATAATAAAATTACATTAAATTCTTTAACGCCAATAAAATTCGATACGGAAAAAAAATCAGGTTTTACAATAGGAGAAAAATTGGAAGAAATCAAGGTTGTTAATGTTCCCGGACCAGAAAGCAGAATATAAAATTTGTTCTTGTATATTGATCATTTATCGATTCCGGATCGAAATCTATCGATTTTTATTTTTAATATATATATATATATATATAATAATAGTAAGATAATCAAGGAAAATTTCAACTCAATATTATTGTTTACTACGTTGCTGATGAAAATAATAATAATAATTTTTACTATTACTACTATTACTATTACTAGTTTATAATTATTTATATTATTATTATTATTTTATTTTTATCAAAGTGTCAAATACTTTTTTTGTAGGCATATAAAAATTGGGCCAGATGAAGATTTTTTTCTATGAAATTTTATCAAAGAAAATAAAATAATTGACGTTCATTGATTGAGATACGAAGCAAATATATATATATAATCTGGTTTCTATCCGAAAATTCGTCAATATTTATTATTTAATTATTATTATTATTATTATTATTTTATAATCTTATGGATTTATAATACTCCGTATAATAATTATTAATAAAAATAAATAATAATAATAACGATGTATGCAACGAATTATAAAAAGAGAAGAAAAAAAAGATAAAAAAAACTTTTTATATTTGTGATCTCTTATTAAAATAATTTTATAAATAAATAAATAAATAAAATTAATAAATAAATTTTCGTTAATAATATTTTTCCCTATTGAAAATTTTTATTTAAACCTGATTTTATATAAAATTAATAATAAAATTTTATTTACTTTAATAATACTTATTTTTATGTAAAGTAATATAAAACTGGTTTTTGCATAACAAATTATTATTATTATTATTATTATTATGTTGATTTCATATGAAAATTTTATTATTATTATTAAAAGATTAAAATTTCCAATCGTAAAAAAAAAAAAAATGGCTGATAATTTTTATACATTGAAAAAAATTTTAAAACGTTACAATTTTGGCAAATAGAAATTTTTTTTTAAGTAATGTTCGAGTGTGAATGGATTTGAAAAAAAAAAAAAAAGATTTTTATGCAAGGCTGTCGGTATAAAAGGTCGTCATACAACTGACAACTCATCTCCCAACAACAGCAATTCACTCCTCATTATCTAATAAAGTTTTTGGTGTGCGTGTGTGTATGTGATATAGTGTCGTGGACATCTCAACAAATTTTTCATTTGTAAATTTTTTTCAATAATAATAATAATAATAATAATTAATTTTTCTTTTAATAAAAAAAAAAAAAATCATTAATTAGTGTTGTTTTTAGTAAAAAATAATAATAATAATTTGAATTCATTCGTTAAAATTAGTTTTTCCGCGAAAACTTTTCCCCGAATATAATACAGGTACGATAATAAATTTTCTTTAAATTTACTACTACTACTCTTTTATTATTACCTTTTTAATATTAAAACTTTATTTTGTTGTTTCTTAACGTAATCTACATTGTCTGTACATTATCTCCCTCCCCTCCCCTCCCCTCCCCCCACTTAATTTAAATTAAAACGAAAAAAAAAAATTTTTTTTAAATCCGTTCGTTTGTTTTAGTTTATTGTAATCATTTTAAAACTGTTTGTCATATCAAAGTAATTATTATTATTATTATTATTATTATTATTATTATTATTATTATTATTATTATACCGTAGAATTTTTCACGTTATAAAGTCACTCTCAAAATATTTTTTTTTTTTTTAAACGAAAAAATTAAATAATAATAATAATAATTAAATAATATTAAACATTTTCAATTAAAGGCCCTTTTTTTTTATTTTAATAACATAATTTTAATATATTAAATTTTGTTTTGACTTGAAATAATAATAATAATAATTTAGCAAATAAAATGATTTCCGCCTTTTTTTTTTTTGTTTTTAAGGTAAAAAAAAAAAAAAAAAAAATGGAGAAAATTATTGCAGATAAAAATAAATCGAATTTTTCTTCTGCTTCTGTTGTCGTTAAATTCGACGTGACAGAAAATTGTCACGACGATTCTGAACTTCAACAAAATGAAAAAATACCCATAATCAGTTCACCTCACGTTACTTGGAACGATAATGTTAAATTATGTAGACCTCTTTCAATTAACAGGTATGATAATAATTTTTTTAAAAAAAACGTTTTAAATAGGTTTCAGGTATTAAAAATATTAAATCGAGAAGGGGTTTATAATTTTATGATTTTTTTTTTTTTAATGAGTCGTAATTGACCTTTTTTTTTTTGTTTTGTTTTGTTTGTATAAAAATGATTGTTGAGGATTTAATAAATCAAATTCTTTTTATGAATTACTAACAACAACAACAACAAAATTTTGTTTTTTTTTTAAATAAAGGAATTATTAGAAAATGAATTACTTTTTTTTTTTTCTAACTAGTTCAACAATGGCTGCCACTGAATTTAAAAAAAAAAAAAAGGCTTATTTTAAGTGTCAAAATTATTATTATTATTATTTTGTAGTGTTTTGCCATAATTATGACCGTGAAACAACATCAATGCGACAATTGTCTAAATATTTTTTATGTGTGGTTAAGCTTTCAATCCTCCATTTTTTTTTTTTTTTTTTTTTTTTCATTTAGTCTCTTGAAATTATTTTTTATTTTGATTTTATTTTTTTTTTTTATTAATAATTCGACGTCTTTTTCCTTTTTCACAAGGATTTTACTTAACGTAATTATTATTATTATTATTATTATGTTTCGATCGCGAAAAGTTTTATTTGTTTAGGTGAGAATTTTTCAAAAGTTACTTTTCTCGAGTTTTAATGGGCCTCTCGAGAGAAATGCTTTCGTATATGTTTTGTCATCACGTAAACTAAACTAAATTTTGTGAATATAAATGACAGTCATCAATCCTTGAAAGTTTTTTTTAATTTTTTGGATGAATATAAAATGTCTCCCGATCTAGTGACACGAATTTGTTGGTTAGCCAAGATCAGAAAAAGTAAAAATCACATCCTCGTCACATTTTGACAATATAAAAACCCTAATAATTTTTCCTACTCTTTTTAAATGTATAATAAAACTACTAAATAAACTAAGAAACAACAGACGAGACAATAAAACCAACAGCAGCATCCATTAATAATAATAATATTCAATCGATAAATATTAACATTGTTTACATTTTAATCCTTTACATAAATCTACCCTCCTCATTTTTAATTAACCGAAAAAAAAACAATTATGAAAAGTATTATTATTTCCCCCCCCCTATTTAAATTATTTACAAATAAATTTCATAAATTTTAATTTCGGTACCTGTGTGTTTTAGGTACGAAAATAAAAAATTTTTTAAATTTGTTAAAATAAATTCTTGTATTCCTTAGTAAACTTTTTTTTGTCGAAATTGCAAAAATTTAAATTTTAAAATGAATTAATACACTTATTATAATCAAACGTACTAATGTATCTTTGTAAATTTTTTTTTTAAAATCCACGTTTTCTTTTTGTCAAATTAAACCGTTAATTATTTTAAATATTTTGAGTGTATTTAAAAAAAAAAAAAAAAAAAAATTATAAACAATATTAAATTACATAAATTTTTTATGTAAAAACTTATTAAATAATTTCAATTATTATAAAATTATTAATTTAAAAAAAAAAAAACTTATTTTAACATAAACAAAACCATTCCATACCTTATTATTATTAATAACAATTTACTAAGTGTTACGATTAATAATTATTTTATTTGTTTAAAGAACCTTATTTTTAAATAAAAAAAATAATAATAATAATAATTTTTATTATTTATATGACAGGTGATAACGATTCGAAAAATGAGATATCATTAATGAAAAATAAAATTTAGAAAAGAAAAACCTTGAACACTTTTTTCCTTTTTTTTAAAAAAAAAAATAATATACCTATAATATTTTTATAACGTTATTTGATTATTATTATTATTATTAGATAAATTTCGTTAATTTTATATTAATGCGAATTATTAATATTAACCAAAAATATATTTTATTAAAATTTTCCTTTTTTTTTAAATTTTATTTATCAACAATTAATTTTCCTTATCAGTTGTCTTTCTTATTTTTATTTGTTTTGATATAATATTAAAAAGTAGAAAAACAATTTCAAATTTGAATAAAACCGGTTTTTTATAAATCGTTAAATTTTAACCAAAATATAAATAAAGAATAATAATAATAATGAATCGAAGAATATTTTTAAAATCGTAAATAAAATGGCGAAACAAACTAAACCCCCTAATTTATAAGAATCCATTTTTTTTTTTTTTTATAATAACCTATCGAAATATCATTAAATATCATTAATATTTTACGTTATTACGACCAATAGTTAAGTCATTCGAGAAAAAAAAATCGGTTTCATTATCATGAGAAAAAAATTATTATTATTATTTTTTTGTTACAAACAACAGTGATAAATTGTTATGTGTTACGTACGTAGCGACGATGAAACCATACGTACTCAATCTATTCTTTATTATATTTTTTTTTGTTACCTCGTCACAATCGTTTAAGTATATTCAAGTTGAATTTTTTACACAACATGTTTAGTGCGCAAGTTATTAAAGACGCGTATGCAACCGAATTTTTTTTTTAAAAAACTTATTTAAAGTTAAAAAAAAGTTTTTTTTTGGTGGTAAACGTTAATTAAAAACTAATTGATATTGTGATGATGATGATGATTTTTACGCGATGTATGTTTAATTAAGTTGAACGAACGAACGTGCGAACGGACGTACTCACGGGATTTGTACGTAATTTTATTATTTGTTTTTGTGTTTTATTATTATTATTATTAATGTTAAATATGAAAAAGTGTGAGGAATCGAACGAAGATGAAAAATCATCGTCGCAAGAGAAATTATGCTTATTAAATTCCGATAATGTTAACGATACGACGGATGAAGAAATGTTATTAAACAATCGAAATACAACCAAAATATTCGTTTCGAACGAAATAAAAAAAAAAAAAAAATTATTAACTTGCGATGATTTTAAAACAAAATCTTTTCACGGTTCTTGGCCTTTGGTTAATTTAAATCAACCGATAAATTATGATAAAGATAAATCAAACGTTTCCTCAGGTTATCGCGGCGGAACAGATTCAGACACGTTAAATAATTCAACAAAATCTGCAAAATCTTCATTGGAAGAAGATTATAAAACTATCGTTAAATTAATATCGAATTTACAAAATTCGGCAAAAGCTTTAACGACAAAATATGAAAAATTAATATCGAATAAAAATACAAAACAGTTAAATTTTCGTTCACACGACGATATTATAAATGTAACTACGGATTCGGCATCCGATGCCGTGGTCAAAACCAAAAAAGATAATAAATTATTTTTACGTACGGATATTAAAATACCCGATGATCTTTTGTTAAATTTTCGTAATAAAAATAATGCAGATTCCGTATCGCGAGATTCGTTACAATTTTTTTTTGAAAACGAAAAACTTTTATGTGGCAAAACAAACGGTTTGACAAATTTAAAATGGAACGATGGCATTTCGGTAACGTCACCTTGTTCTACAAACCCCGAAAGTTTTTTCGACAGGTAAAAAACATAATCGTGAGAATCGAAATTCTTATTATTAAATTTATCATAATAATAAGGATAAGTTTAAAAAGTGTAAAAATATTATCTCTTACCTTACATTGAAGTCGGTAAATAAGCCTAAATGACATCGATGTCGTATTCGTATAAAGAATCCTGTAAAGAGAAATAAAAAAACATATTAGAATATTATTATTAAGTAATTTTTTCGTAATTTTTTTTTTTTTTTTGAAATGATACGACGACCCTTTTGTATATGATAATAATTTTTATAATACGACATTTTAAAATTAAGCTTTGATAAGTCGTTGTTGCACAATAAAATAAATAATAGGCTCGTAATAAGTGAAACTTGTTAATTAATTGATAAGTTTTTTGTCACGTTTATTATCATTTCGACAAATAATAATCTTTGTATATTAATTTATTTATATAATTTACCTTGACTGACACTTTTTGTTTTAATTTTTTTTTTTTTTTTTTAGTGGGAAAAAATGCAGGAGTCAAAATGTAATTTTTCCAAAAAGATCTGTTTTAAAAAATGGCGAATGTAACGTATTGAAAAAAAGTAGCAATTCGAAACGTCGCATAAGGTATTTACAAGACATATTTACAACGCTCGTGGATGTTAAATGGCGTTGGACTTTGTTTGTGTTTGCCCTAAGTTTTATTTTAAGTTGGCTTTTTTATGCTGTGATTTATTGGCTGATAGCCTATGCACATGGTGACTTTGACCATCTTGATGTGAGTTTTACACCTTCATATAAATTTAAAAAAAAACAATATAAAACAAAATTCAAAATACTATACTAATCATTCGGTGATCAGTAGTATGTAACTACAACTAAAAAATGACAACTGTAAAAACATATTAATAATATATATATAAAATTTACAAAACATTATTTAAATTACAGGATGAAAATTGGAAACCCTGCGTTGATAATTTATTTGATTTTACATCCTGTTTTTTGTTTTCCGTTGAAACTCAACATACAATTGGTTACGGAGGTAGGGCAACAAGTGAGGAATGTCCTGAGGCAATATTTGTAATGTGTATTCAAAGTATCACCGGTGTCATGATTTCTGCATTTTTGGCTGGTATATCATAAGAAATCCATAAGGTTCCAAAAAAAAATTTCTCTAAAGTTTTCTAAACTTGTTATTATTTTAAATATTTTTTTTAGGTATTTTTTTTGCCAAAATGTCGAGACCGAAACAAAGAAGGCAAACTTTATTATTTAGCAGAAAAGCAGTTATATGTCAAAGAGATTCTCAATTATGTTTAATGTTTAGAGTTGGTGATATGAGAAAGTCTCACATTATTGGAACAAATATAAGAGCCCATATATTCCGAACACGAACAACAAGAGAAGGTAAATTATGTTATAAATAAAATTTCTCTATTTAAAAACAGAATAAAAAATTTTAAAATTCTAAGCACATAATACTTTGAGCATATTTTATATAAAAATTTTGTTTTAACTCAATGGTAAAAAATTATACAACCATTATTTAAAAACCCTGTCACCTCTAAAAGTACTTAAAGCAATATTAATGAGATAATAAATTATAATATGAGTTTTGCAAACAGTTTAAATAAATGTAAAGTTTAAGTAAAAAAAATTATTGTTTTTTTTTTTTTTTTCTAGGAGAAGAATTACCTCAGTACCAGTGTGAGCTTCAAGTGTCTGTAGATGGCTGTGAATCTAATT